AAACATTTCAAAGTTCCTTTAGTGCCTGTGAATCCCCCCATGCAGGTGGAAACCGTAGATGGGCGCGAACTCAAGTCGGGACCTATTCGCTTTGCCACCCAACCACTGCGTATGCGTATTGGGGATCACGAGGAGGCGATAAGTTTTTATATCACTTCGAACCTCCATCTTCCTTTGGTGCTCGGAGTATCCTGGCTGCGTCTACACGATCCGTTGGTGGCTTGGGCGCAGAACGCTGTTTCTTTTCCAAGCTTGCAATGTGTGGACCACCTGAGACATGTCTGCGCAGGCCAACATATTGTCGCTTCTGCTGCCTCGATTCCTTCAGAGCTGTCGGATTTCCCCGATGTTTTCAGTGAACAGGAGGCAGATCAATTACCACCACATCGTGTTTATGACTGTCCCGTGGATTTGATACCGGACGCTCCATTACCAAAGGGGAGGTTGTATTCTTTGTCTGAGCCTGAACTAGTTGCACTTCGAGAATTTTTGAATAAAAATCTAGCTCGGGGATTTATTCGACCTTCGTCATCCCCTCTTTCAGCACCCGTTCTCTTTGTCAAGAAGAAGTCGGGAGAACTTCGTCTTTGTTGTGACTATAGACGCTTAAATGCTATCACTGTGAGAAATAGCTATCCTTTACCGCTCATCTCCGAATTGTTGGAGCGGTTACGGGAAGCTACAATTTTCACGAAACTTGACTTACGTGGAGCTTACAATTTGGTTCGGATGCGTAAGGGAGACGAGTGGAAGACGGCTTTTGGCACTCGTTATGGTCATTTCGAGTACACCGTTATGCCATTTGGTTTGACCAACGCTCCTGCTGTATTTCAACATTTAATGAACGATATCTTTCGAGACATGTTGGATAAGTTTGTTGTCATATATTTGGACGACATTTTGATTTATTCAAAATCTAAAGAGCAACATCTTCAGCAGGTGCGTCAAGTGCTTCAGCGTCTTCGGGAACATAAACTTTATGCTAAATTAGAAAAATGTTTCTTTTTTCAGTCGTCTATCGAATTCTTGGGACACATTATTTCTCCTGTGGGCATTGCTATGGACCCCAAAAAGGTTGAGGCGTTGTGTAGTTGGGAAGCTCCTCGTCGGGTTAAAGATGTGCAACGACTTTTAGGATTTGCCAACTATTATCGGATTTTCATTCCAGGTTTTGCGAAGATAATGGATCCCATAACCCAGCTTCTTTGTAAGAAGGTTCCATTTGTGTGGGGGCCTCCACAACAACAGGCTTTTGACATTTTGAAAAAAGCATTTATAACTGAACCCATATTGAAGCATCCTGATCCGGATTGCCCATTTGTGGTCGAGACAGATGCTTCTAATGTCGCTATCGGAGCAGTGCTGTTACAAGCTTCGGAGGATGGCGCTCTTTTGTTTCCTTGCGCTTATTATTCTAGGAAGCTTACAGCTTCGGAACGCAACTATACCATTTGGGAAAAAGAGTTGTTAGCTATTAAGGTTGCTTTTGAGACTTGGAGACATCATTTGGAGGGAGCTCGACACAAGGTGGAGGTTCGGACAGATCATAGGAACCTGGAACATTTGACCACGGCTAGGAAATTGAATCAAAGACAGATTCGTTGGTCGTTATTTTTTGCCAGATTTAATTTCTCGGTTACTTACGTTCCAAGTGGTCAGAACCGGAGGGCGGATGCATTATCTCGGAAACCGGAGTATACTTATGCCGAAGATCCTCTTCCTTTACGGACAGTGTTACCACCGGAATCTCTAGCTGTACTGCAGGAACCGGTAGATTTACGGGCCCAACTACGAGAGGCGCAACGTTTGGATGTGTGGACGCAGCAGAGACGGGAGGACATTGGCCCAACTTCTCCATGGTCTTTTGAAGACGATCTGCTTCGATATCGGGGTTTATTATATGTGCCTACCAGACCGTTGAGGGCTCTCATCATGACACAATGTCATGATAACCCAGCCGCTGGTCATTTTGGATTACACAAGACCTTGCATTTGATCACTCGGAATTTTTGGTGGCCTCGAGTTCGTCATGATGTGTCTTCTTACGTCGCTTCTTGCGTTCAATGTAGGCAAGCAAAAGCAGCATCCGGTGCACCTCCTGGACTTTTGCAACCCTTGCCGACTCCAAGTAGACCATGGGGAGCGATCTCTATGGACTTTCTGACACATTTACCGTCTTCATCGGGGTTCACAACAGTGCTTGTGGTAGTGGATATGTTGACTAAAATGGCCCATTTCATTCCCTGTCGGAAATTACCATCGTCCCGCACTACGGCTCAGTTATTTTTGCAACATATCTTCCGTCTACATGGACTGCCTGATAGAGTGGTTTCTGATCGTGGGGTCCAGTTTACGGCAGAATTTTGGAAACAGTTAATGGCGGCTTTGCAAGTGAAAGTATGTTTAGCGTCAGCGCACCATCCGGAAACTGATGGCGGGACGGAGAAGGTGATTGAGATTCTTACTCAATATTTGAGATGTTTTGTTAATTTGCGACAAAACGATTGGGTGAAATACCTCCCGTTAGCAGAATTCGCGTTTAACAACTCGCAGCATACCTCCACCCGTGTCACGCCATTTTTTGCAAATATGGGTTATCATCCGCGTTTCTTCCCATTAACTATGATGGATTCCCCGGTTCCTGAGACCCGAGAGTTTTTGGAAGAACTACACGCAGTTCGCCGTCTACTGATACAACAATTGAACAAGGCAAAAGAAGATTATAAGCGGTTTGCAGATCGGTCCCGTCGAGATACACCTCCGTTAGTTGTGGGTGATAAAGTGTGGCTATCTACAAAACATCTGAAGGTCGATCGCCCTATTAGAAAACTTGATCATCGGTTTATTGGTCCGTTCCCGATTGAGGCAGTTATTAATCCCGTGGCATACCGCCTCACTTTGCCACGATCCATGCGTATTCACCCTGTCTTTCATCGATCTCTTTTGATTCCTGATTCTTCTGTTTGTCGATTACGTGATTCTGCTGAACCGGGTCCGTTATCATTGCCTTCTGAGGAGCCTGCTGTTGACGATACGGTGGTCGACGTCCTTGATTCCCGTTGGCTCAAAGGTCGCTTCCAGTATTTGGTCAGGAGGAGGGTAGATGACTCGGAGGTTTGTTCCTGGACGGATGCGTCTACACTTCATGCTTCGGATCTGCTTCGAGACTTTCATGCACGCTTCCCTTCGAAACCGCATCCGGATCGCCAGACCCGGGGGAAGGGCCCTGCGGTGAGGGATAGTGTTGTGATTCCGGCATCTGCTACAGGTTTTTTGAATGACAGCTCCAGCGAGGAGGACTTATATGAATCAGCAAGTTCTAACGATGAGGAGGAGATGAATGCATTTGATTTGCAAGATCGGCTTGAACCTTCAAACTCCTCCACCCTTCAATTAGGTGGTCAGCCGGGAACGGGTGATAATGAGGAACAAATGTTATCTTCAGGTGAAGAAGATGATAATTTGGATGATTGCTGGGTAGATGTCAGGACAAGACGTCTCCTGACAAGGAGGAACCAACGAGGTTACAGTAGGAGAGCAGACCAGCAATTAGACTAATTAGTTACTCTATAAAGGGAGAGATATGACTTTGCACTTTGTCCGGAACAAAGTGTCTATTTGCAAGAGAGAACTGAAGAGCACAGTTTGGAGGATTTTGATCTGAAACATCTTGTTGGGATTTGGATTTAATTCGTTGGAACTTCTACTTATTGGAATTATTTTGTGAAGGATTTTGATCTGAAGAATCTTGTTGAGTCTTGGATTTAGTTCGTTGGAACTTTTACTTATTGGAGCTATCTGTGAAAATTCCTGTTTGCTGCCTTTCTTTACAAGGACTGTTGCTTTCAGCCTTATCTGTTTACTTTAAAAGGTGGGACATAACATTTTCCTGTTTGCTGCCTTTCTTTACAAGGACTGCTGCTTTCAGCCTTAACTGTTTATTTTAGAAGGTGGGACATAACATATATATATATATGAATGTACATCCATGTCAAAGTTCTAAAAATTCCAGTCTGGCCCCAAAGTCTGAGAGAGGAGGCAGATCTTCATGGCCTAATGAAAAATTCATAAAGCTGCAGCTGTATCTCTGAAGGGAAGGTTTTAATGGGGCAAGTACTATGAAGACACACTTCCTAGGAGTCACCAAGTAATACTGTCTCATGGAGGGACCTGGAGCATGCCTGCTTTGCCAGATCTGGTGGGACATAGGTTACAAGTTTGAAGCACCTGCCTTAGTATAAAAATTGTAGGTTCTTTTAGATAATGATCAATTCTTAATATACTATATAACAAAAATACAATACACAGATCAAGGGAAAAAAATAAAGATACTAATTGAACAAAGGTTGTCAACACATTCAAGTTAATTTCAAAGTAACAGGATTTTTAAGTAAACCACTATAGCCAATTAATGAAAAAAGATCTTTCAATTCTGAAGAAAGATAATATACCAAAGTGTGTTGGAAGAGCTACTGGTGCACCTAAGGATGCCCACAAGGACTAGACTGTCTACCTACATATGAATAGACCTTTATATTTAGTTGCAGGGAAATACAAATTACTTTATGTAGTGTCATTCTATTTGTTTTCCACAACTTGATACTTGCCAGCCTATGTGGCTCAATCAACTGAAAGGCTTTCATGGTGATGAAAGGTATATTACAAAGGTTTGCATTTTTGGGGTAACCTGATATGTATGCCTCAATGTAGTAAACCAAGGGCAAAACTATCAGGCATGTGGGAAAAGGTAATATACTTTTATTGTGACTGAAAGGAAATATAATGTACTGCAGGAGCTCCTACACTTTTTGCCATTACACCTGCCTGTGTACACCTGCTCCTGCACTTTTTGCCATTACACCTGCCTGTTTTAATGTACAGACCTCCCCTAAAAAACCCAAACACCAAAATGGAGACAAATGAGAAATTAAAATAATAGAATGAAATTTTGGGAAAGGCGAATGTATTGTAACAGTGTACAGCTAAAAGGTTCTTCTCACTCCTATGCTTTGCCAAGAGAGGTACACCTTGCAGTTTGGGAAACCTTGCTTGTTCTGCCAGGACATATGGAGCAAGGCTGTTTGCAGTGGGCATTTCAGATAAACACATAGCTGAACCTGCTTCCATTAGAATGGGAACAGATTTAAGCTTCAAGTACACGAACGCCACAGGAACAGATACATATTTATAATCCAAGGAAGCAGAACAAAAGCATTATTTTGCTAGATGCAGCACAGTATATAAATGAGTGAAAGCAATGTTATTTCATCGCTTACAGTGAATATTAAAAAGTGCTAGAAATCAAGGTTAACCAAGGTCTTACAAGTAGGATGATGTAAGAAGAATTAAACAAAACAGCATGCAAAAGAATAGACAACTTACCACAGCCTTGAATAAGTTCAAAAGAGGAAAAGAGCAAATTTCTGCATTAAAACCTAATTGGCAGACAACATTATTCAGAACTGATTTTATACATTTTTTTAAAGAGATAATGTTTCCCTGGAAAGTTCGTCCTCAAAGAACGTGTGTCTTGTGGAAGCAAGCATATACACGTACTATAACCAAACGTGTGTCTTGTGGAAGCAAGCATATACACGTACTATAACCAAAATAAATAGGCAGAAATATGGAGTATGTGTAAGCATTCTACAATGAAGCTACAAGATTCAGAAGCCAACTAGAACGCAAAGCTAGTATGTCTACACAAACTAATATGTAATAAAATTAAGGATTTCAAATCAATTAGGAGAAAAAAGTCTTTAATTATTTTGCAGCTTTTTTCAGGGATGATTTTGGGTACCATCATATAATTTATATTCACACTGCCTTGTCTTCATTTTCCTTTTATCTGTTTAATAATCAACAGTATGAAACTATGACAAGCTGTTATAACAAAGAGGCTCCTCCTGAACTCTGCTTTAAAGAAATATGAACTTGTCTGTTACCTTTCTAGGCTATAGTATATAATAACATTGGTTATATATATTTTTTAAATTTGTATTATGGGATTTTAGTTGGGGTAACCTTTTCTGTGTCTTACTATCAAATCTCTTGCAGAAGATCAAAAGATACTAATCATAAATATACACTGTTACCTAAAACTGGAGGGAGTTAATTCTTTGTCATAATATAATCTTAGGTCTTAATGTAGTGTATATTTATTTACACATAGGTCTATTCACTTCAATGGCACATTGCCAAATCAGCAAGAAGAAGTTAAAACCTAAATGTGAGGAAACCTCTAAAACTATTATTACAGCCCATTGCCACTGATAATATTTTGCTTCTATTTTTATATGACTCTAAATCTACATTTTGCTCCATGAACTTTACTATAGATAAATGTTTAATACTGAAAGCATACCAGGCAACTAATCCCTATGTTATTCACTTGTGGAATGTATTTTTTACTGCATTCTCTCTAAAAAGAAAATTTGTTGGGAAATGTGTAGTTTAACTTAAAGTTCACCCACAGTAGTCACTTACTTGACCATAAAATGCCACACGGTAGTATCGTCCAAATAAGCGCTTTTCAGAATTCACAACTTCTGCGACTTTCAGATAAGATCTATGGATGTCATAGTACAATTCAGACAGCCTCTGGAGTAATAGAATGAAGTACATTTTAAAGTAAAAACCCTGGTATTTAAACCAAGTCATGTAACCATGTTTTCAATATTGCTAGTAGCTTTCAAATCAACTGATTAAAGGTAACTTTCCCAATGTAACATGCATGTAGTATCAACTTCCACTTGTATTATTCCCATTTTTTTTCTCAATGATTTTTCTATCTTTTCTCATATTACAAAATACTTTAATACTGATTAAAAAGGGGAGGCAGAATAAATATGGAATGCTTTTATTGGTAGTGCTAAGTGTCCTACATCAGGAATTATTTAGGAGTCAGATATTCAAACACATTTATAATTATAAGCATGAATTATATATAATCATATATAAAGAGCAATTTGATATAGTGGTTAAAACACTAGGCTAGAAAGCAGGAGATCATGAATTCAAGTCCCGCATTAACCAGGAAAGCTGGCTGTGTGGCCTTGGGCCGGTCATTCTCTCTCAGTTCATCTCACAGAGTTGTTCTTATGGCGAAAATAGAAGAAGGAAGATGTGTTTTGGTTATATTATCTGCCTTGAATTGTTTGTGAAAATAATAAATGTGGGTATAAAGTAAAGAAATAGCTGAATAAATAATTAGAGAGGTCAAATCAAATTTGCATTTTTCATCTACAATGTATGGAAATGAGATCACATTTTCCTACTTGTCCTGTGTGTGATGGAAATCCATCTTTTTATAATGCAGTCTTATATTAAAAGCCGCTCATATTAAAAAGGTACACATGAACAACACAATCAGACTTTAGTCAGTTGTGTTAATTGTCAGTTAATTGTAGATTTTGTATATAATCTAATTTTGCATATACATATAGCACATGTATTATGTATATACAGTATAAAAAAACAGTTAATATAGAAAGGTGAATATAGTTGCCAAAGTCACTAAAGCACTGACATCCTATATTATTTTTCTCAGTGTGATTTCCTCCTAATTTTTAGTTCAGCTTACTTTGAAATCTCTTTGTTTTTCAAATACAGCAATAACTGGCTTGTTAACTTCAGCAATGAGTTCGTATCTTTCACATTTCCAGAGATAGTCAACACATAATTCCAGCTGTTTCACAAGGATGTCCTGCAGGTGAAGAAGGAACATTAGGTCTGTGATGCAAAATAAGATTTTTTTTTTGCAATTTCAATTCCTTAAAAAAGAAATAAAGGTAATTAAGACTCTAATTATGCTCCTCCGGATATCTGAAAACTGTGAAGAAAACATACTTAAGGTCAATTAAGAAGAATAACATTGCAAACCTCATTGTATGGTGTATCTTGCATTCCAGAGTCTTCTTTCATTGCTCCTTCTTCTTTAATATTTGGTGTAATATTGAGAAAAGCTGGCCATCCCATTGAAAACAAGCCTTTTCAAACAAGAGAAAAAGTCCTATCAATGCTTCAGTAGCAATCATTTAAGTAATTGTAGTAAAAAATGAAGATATTACATATGATAGCTTATTACAAACACTATCAATATTATTAACTTTCTTGTAAAGACTGTAGTTTATAGCTAAGTAGTTATAATTTGGTAATTATTGTCCAAAGGCATAATTTGAGAACCTCCCAATGAGACCCAAAAGGATAAGGATTATGTGTTAAAGTATTTATGATTCTGAAATATGTAGTGTTCTCAAAGTTCTTATAAAGTTTTTTAAATTAATATCTGTCAGAGAACATATAACATGGAATACATTAAGTTAAGTCTGGTTATAAATTTAGAAGTATGTATTGATATTAATCTTGATTCATATGAAGCCATAATTTATTAAAACTTGGTCCCAATATAATTTAAGTTACAAAACCTTCAGCTCATTAGCCTTTCCCAAACTTATTTTACAAAGAATAATGATAGCAAGGTTTCTCAAGCAAGGTTTCCGGAATCTCAATGGTACTGCTTACAATGCCCAGTGTCAATGGACATTGTTGTATATGTTTATGATTGTGGGAATTGATACCAGGATGAAATGAAAATTCCATTTTCCAAGCTGACTGGCATCACAGATTTAGGATTGGGTTATTGAAAAGTCTCCTTTCATTAAATATATGGAGTTCAAATAACAAATAGGGTTCTTCAAACATTGTCCAACCCATAAATGGTCATGGTTAGAACACTCACTTCCTCCAGGGTGAGTTGTTAGTAAGATATTATTATCAGAGAGTTCAGCATCTTCCAGGAACAGACGAGAGGTACAAATCTTTTCCATTTTCCAGTAACCTATAGTATTGTGAGATGTTATTAGCATTTGGTTATTTGTATGAGTTAATACATGCAAGTTTATTTATTTAAACCAAGGTATGGAACAATAATAAATCTCTCATCTCAAAGAAAAGAAAAATAATACACAAATATATGAAATTTAAGTTTTAAGCAAAATACAATATTTCTGCAACATGAAATATTTTTTACTTCTGCTAACTTAATGGGAAATATCTGTTTAAAGCAATTTAAAGAATAAATACAAAACTTTCTAAATAGCATAAAGTAGGTTCTTAATCACTTCTGTTCACACCCTGCTGTTTTCCAGTCAATCAAACCTTTTAATTGTACTTTATCTTACCCTTTCTCTTCAGATATTCAGCAATAAGGGCAGCTATATGGACGTAACACATAGCAGCCTGCAAAAAATGCATTGATAAGTTTTAATGTTAAAGAATTGAAACAAAAGCTAAAATTTTCACAATATTCTCTTGAATTACACATGTATTATATAGAATTTAAGAACTGGACAATGTAAATGGATTCCATTATTATAGCCAAAAAAACTGATATTGCAACAGTGGTAATAAAATGTATGGCCCCATTTATTCAGTGGATTAAAGCTCTGATTAACTTGCCACCCATGAACTGACTGCCTACTGAAGTAGATTTTGCATGGATAAATATAAAGAAATATGAGATTCATTTATACAAAATACAGTAGGTTTTTAAAAAGCCTGATGGTTATATATTATATAAACCACACATATGCACACATATATTCTCAAATAATCTTTATATTAGATAATTATATGTAGAGAATTATAACTGTTTGCTGTAATAAGATACAGTACAGTAGATTGTTGGATGCAATAGGTGGTCTCTGTAAACTGGTTAGAGAGGGCTGTAAAGCACTGTAAAGCAGTATATAAGTCTAAGTGTATTGCTATTATTGTTCAACATATAGTATACCATTTTTATTGTATTTTAAACTTATTTTTAAACCACTTATACATTTTTATAAAGGGTATATCTGTGCTTTATTCCTTTAGATTTTTTTCTGTTATTATTTTAAAAAACAATATTTTTGTTAAAAATGTTACAGGATGTAGATCTTCTTAATCTTCACCAATACCAGTGTGTCTTTGCAAAACAATAACAACAAAAGCTCATCTGGATCGATGTATTAGTGTGAAAACTGGTAATTAAAGTATCTCCCCTGTCCAGGAAGGTTTGAAAATGCCAGAAATTATCTTAAGCAGTGTATCTGGTACATTGGTTTCCAAATCAGACTAAGCCTGGAATTCAACACTACAGTATATGGATCACATGCCACCATCCTATCTCTCTATAGGATTTCACTATTCCTTCACCATGGCTAGGTTACATGTGCTATCTCTGTACATGTAGGGGGCATTATAAAAACACCCATTGACTGCAGAGCATAAGGTCATGCGGATCTGTCTCCATGGAGTTCCTCAGTTACATGTTCGTTTGCTGCTGTCATTATGGGAAATGTGAAGTGACACTCATGTATCCCATTTGAGATCAACGCCCTTACGGTGCTTATTTATCACTTCTACTCAACCAGATCAGTGATATCTCTTCCCAATTCTATTTTTCTATTCATTCTACTTGTCCCACATACAACTGAAGATTAGTGAAAAATCATAGTGATTACCATTATGATTTCTCTTATATTAACATTATTGTTATTTTATACTTGCTATTTAGTCATACCTATATATTTTACATGTAGTTTCTATATAAAGTTTCTGGCTTAAAGGCTGTAATAAAGATTTCTATTTTGGACAACTGGTACAAAACAAGCACTCATATTATAGGACTGCTGGAAGGAGAGAGAGACACATCAGTGGAATGTGCTTGAAATCCACAGGAAATAAATTTAATTTTTACTCTTTTGAAAAAGAAAAAATGTTCAGCTATATAGCAAACAAAATATTTCAATTACAAAAAAATAACAAAAATTAATCAAAAGTAGATTGTGATCTACTTTTCTTGATTCAGTACATTACATATGTCCTAATAGATTCTCATAAAAGTTCCTAGAATAAAGTACCAATAATAAAAGAAAAGTTAGGCATCAGAAGGTCAGCGTGGCTGTTATGACAACTGCATTCAACTTACTAGGTCGCAAGTTATATAGGCTACCCTTGCTATTTTGATTTCAATTCCTGATGAAAAACAGAGAACATGTACAGAATTAGGTCATATTTTCCAGCTGTCCACATTAGCATTAAAACTACTAATAGATTATGACAAGATCATGCTCCTGTGTAAAGAGAAATTATGGAAGAGCTTAAGATTTGTATAATGTTGTAGTTCCAAGATAACTACACTGAAAATTAACATAGTGCCTGAATTTAATAATTTCCCGAAGTCCATTATTGATTAAATGGTTCTCTGTTTTGAATGCAAACCCACCAGTATGTATTTGGGTAGATATTTTGTAGAAAATATCCTGCTTTAGGACACAAGTTTCTTAAATGAGTTCCACAAATAATCATGCTTGGTTGAAACAGAAAGTTGACATTGAATTCTTGTTCTTTAGGGCTTATTTCAAGCCCTTTCAAATACAAAATAATTTATCAGTTTCAGATGAGCTACCTCAGATAAGTCTCCATTTCTTGCATGAATTTTGGCCATGCTCTCCAACCAGGTCCTACGTAATTCAGGGTTACTTGCATATGAATTTGCCAAGCTGTACTGTAAGTCCACAAGCATCTCCGGATCCTTCTCATGTTCTTTCATTTGAGCTGTAGCCATTAAAACTGTTCTTATGCGTTTGGTCAAATCTTTCACTTCTGCTGGGAAGTTACTGTTCTTTGGGAAAGAGAAATAAGGGAATTTAAGTTCATAAAATCTCTATTATCATGTTAAATGACATCTATTTGGAATAAGTCAGATAACCTGATAAATACAACTGTTGCGTACATCATAACAATGTTATAATACACTGTTTGCTATTTCCTCTTCCTAGCTGTCTATGATCAAATAACTTTTCTTTTCTTTCACTGCACATTATCTTTTTCTTCAGTATTGGCTTGTCATGTTTGAACATAGTTGCAATAGATATTTCTTTATAATATAAAACTTGGGATAACAAAGGTCTTGAGAGAATTCTTATTACTATGGTTTTTATTGATAGATGAATTAATATTAAGAGCCCCTGTGGCATAGTGGTTAGAATGCAGTACTGCTGATCACCGGCTGCCAGCAGTTTGGCAGTTCAGGTTTCACTGGCTCAAGGTTGACTCAGCCTTCCATCTTCCAAGGTCAGTAAAATGAGGACCCAGATGTTGGGGGCAATAGGCTGACTCTGTAAACCGCTTAGAGAGGGTTGTAAAGCACTGTGAAGCAGTATATAAGTCTAAGTGCTATTGCTATGCTATATGCAATTCATTTTCTAGCAATTATCATATTATTATCTCAGATAGCAACAAAGGAAAATATACTTTGGATACAACCACATTTAGACATTTAGTAACTTATTTTTTTCCCTATGGCTATCCAGCCTTCATTTTGTTGATACAGAAATAATGAGGATGAGCTCCATATAATTCAAAGATGGCAGATCAATTCTTAAAGACGCTATAAGTCCCTACTGGGGAAATATCCATTGTCATAAGAATGCAAAAAAAAAAATACTATAAGTATAAATAAATAAGCAGCTTAAATAAATAAATAAATTACTTTCATCTGTTTGTCTCCATTAGCAAAGTTATTTGTAATTGCCAAAGAATGCTGAAATCGAGAACCTCCAATCCCTCCATCTGCAATCAGTTGGCTTACAGCCTTGATGAGCTGAAGTGATGACAAGAAAAGAGAACAACTTACTTCTCAGAAGAACCACCAGCAAAATTTATTAGACAGTGATTGTTGTCTCAATCTCTACTTGTGGTCAAGGAGAAAACTAGTAACTTGAGTTTTCCCTTTTTCTCAAATTCTTATCTTTATTATCTTTCTCTTAAAAATATGTATAGTATAAGAATAAAATAAATAGTAACAAAATAAACATATTTCTAAATTAAGTATGAAGAAATTTAAATTTTGGTAAACTATTCCCTACCTCAAATGAATCAGATACAGTTTTTGCCCATTACTAGTTATGAATGGTTATGAATGAATATATACATTCTGTTAAATAGTCTTTTCAGCAGGAAGGAGAATATTTTGTGTTACGAATTGCCATTTCTAAACTAATTCTGAATCTTGTGGCTGAAGACCTGGAAACATAAGATATTTCTCTAGAATATCAAAGTTGAGATAACAAATTTTTTTTAAAGGCATTATTATTACTGTAGTTTTTATGGTCATTATTGTTAGCATTATCATTCTGAGCATCTAACAGTCTAAAATAAAATTTAAAATAAGAATGAAATAAAACAGACGAGAGCATTCTGTGATCTGTAAGTATATTTCGTTCCCTCTCTCAAATGAATAAATGCAGTAACACTATAAAATAATGACAAATTTCAGGTAGTAATTGCTCCAAGGCGTTACCACAGTAATATTTGCTTACCTGCAAATGAGACCTTACTATTGACTTTTGCTTATTAAATTCAAAGTTCTTTCTCATGAAAAAATAAAGCAGAGCAGAGGCTTCCATCTGTGTTGATTGTGATCTGTGATTACAACACTTAAGTATCTCATAACAGAAAGATCCACACAAGTCAGCTTGCCCTTGGAAGAATGCTGATGGAAACTATAAAAACAAAAACATCAATACATATATCTCATGCACAATTCCCCACAGTAGAAATTACTAACATTCTTACACTTTTACAAACAGGTTACATAGCAAGTGAATTTATTTTTGCCAAAGGTATACAACTTTAAAACCAGAATATATAACTTGTAAGGGACCTTAGATCATATATTTCAGCTAAGTAGGTAGGTACAGGAATCCATTAAACCATCTCTGATAAGTGGTCAGGAATGTTTGAAAGTCTCTTTTTAGGAGTTTTATACAGATTGTACCACTGATTAACACCTCTTATTTCCTTATACTCCTCCTGTTTTTCAACTGGAATTTCCTCGTTTTTAATTTCAACCCCTTGGTCCTTGTATTGCCCTTAGTTTGAACACAGATCAAATCTATCCAGTTTTGCTGATGATAACCTTTTAATTATCTGTAGAATGTTACACTATCTCCTCTTAAACAGGCCAAACTGCAGTTTCTTCTCAAAAACTTAGATATAGAAGTCATGGCTCTGGCCTTTGCTGCAAGTTATCTGTTCAGAAAAGGTCTGTTATTTCTCAATAGCCAACTGAGAAGGATGAAAGAGAAGAAGGGATTCCTACAAATGAGATGCCATATATGGTCTTACCTTACTCACAAACAATCTCAAAGCAGCAAATACATGCTTGAGAGCTGCTGCAGAATTATTGATTTGTAAAAATAACAGGTAAGTATCAAAGACTTTCTTCATCATTGTATTCTGGCAATCTGACTGTTGCAGTTGTCTCTGAAAAGTAACAAATACATTACAGATTTTTAAATTTAAATTGTTGGGATCTTTTATTTTCCACCCTCACTATTCTTGTTCCTTTCATTTTTGTCCAGATATGAGCAGGCATTTTTAACATTTTTAACATTAGTTTAGTTTCTCAAAGGTTCTTAGAATGTCTTTGTTTTTGCATCAGACCATCTTTGCATCATTTTGAAAGCTTCATTCACAGGCTGTCTGCATATATGAAACATTTCCTTGTTGATTCTGTGCTTCAAAAAAATAACAGCTTAGCATAAATTGTGGACATTGTGACTTTCATGTAAAAAGTTTGTCATCGAAAAATGTTACCTGATGATGCTGAATGAAAAGACATAACAGATCGAGTATAGAAAGGCAAACTTCTGTTGCAATGTTGGCTTCCGTATCTACGTAACTCACAAGATCTATTTCATTAGAAGTGCCTACAGTTAAATAAATGTTACAGAAAAAATGTTAAGTCATCTACAAATGACAATAGTCACTGATGACATATCACCTCTCTTAAATATGCTTTTACAGAAAAGTACGCTTTCTTAGCAAGCTTTACCTTGAAATTGCTACTGGATTTCAATATTTGGTTTCAATATTTTCTCTAAGGACTTATTTTTAAGAAATTGTTTTATAAAATATGCTTAAATAAATCATAATATATTTGTGAATGAAATTCACTGATCATTTTTCACATTAAAAATCTTATTTTCATATAGCAGTTTGAATCCTTCCTATTTACTTTTTGGACAACTTTTTGGTTTTGGACATATATTTCACCTCCATCTCCCTTTTTAACACACATGATTATGAATTAATGCACATGATTATCCATAAATAATGGGATGCTAATTAATCAACCTAATTTTTATCATTTTTATAAATTACATGTATAGAAAGAATTTATGGTAATGAGTACACATATGAGAACTATATTAGTTATTACTTGTATGTCTAATTTTTAGGCTAAAAATGATAGAGTGAAATTGTCTTAATCATATACAACAGCTGGCCTTTACTCTTAATGTTCCATAACAACTGAACAAGCATAAATGATAAGAACATGGATGAGATCATAAAAAGAATATTTATACATATGCAAAAGCATAACATTCACAAGAATATAATCTAGGAAAATATGAAAAACTTTTCTATAGATATTGAGACTTAATAAACGTTTTCACTGTGTATACATAAACTGAATAATGAAACAACAAAACATAATAGCATTATCTCACATTATTTACATAACATTGAATGAAGAATGCTATTTCATTAAGTACCACAATAGTCCCATTAAATGTTCAACTACAAAATCTCCCTTTATACTTACTTGGAATGGTACTATCTATCATCTGTAAGAGTTTATGATTGGAAAGGGCATTTTTCCCACGTATTATTGGTAAAGTTTGAGATCTATGATGCTTGTGAACCTCATTGCTGGAAGCTGAATGTCCCCTGCAAAATGACAAGACAGTGCTTCAGGCATACCCCAAAACTTTTCCAAATCTTTAGACAATTTGTTTTCTATCTTCTGCACTGCATCATTTCCAGACATGAATATTTCTAAGTAAGTAGTAGATTGGTTTAAAGCTTATTACACAATATAGGAACAGAATTATACTAAGCCTTGCTAAAAAAAAAGTTAACTAGATAGAAATTGTCCACATGTTAGTGGAACAAAGCTCTACCAAGGCAGTGGTATCCCAATCAAAAGTCTTGTGGTTATACCAAGGGATTCTTTTGAACAGTAGAGAGCTAACTTGTGGTATCTAGGAGAATAAAAAAAAATCTTTATAATTATAATCTGCTATTCTGGAATTTGTAGTTATGTACATCTGAAGGTATAAGATATCTAGAAAGGTAAATTATTAAAAAGGGTATTTGGCATCATGGAGTCCAATTAGAAATTTCAGCATGGGCTTTTAAAAAAGACCTATTTTGGTGGGAACTTTTAGGGTCACATTTAAGAAAATGCTTGTCATATTTACAAATAAATTGCAGTGTTATATTTTGGGTGTATATATACATATCTCTTAACATCTTAATAAAAATACAATTGGGCCATTAATATTTAACCTCATGGATTTTTAAAATAAGAATCACTCATGTCTTATAAGATGGATTGGTAATAATGTTTTAAGAGCTTATTCTAGTGATTTTTTACAGTGAAGTAATGGTGGAAATTTGACACACTGCAGCTGCTACGTTTTTGTTACAGTGAGATTTGATACTGATGATTAGATGAAGCAATTATAATGCATCATTATGGAAAACTTCCTTCTGCCCACCCCATGTCTAGACATAAAATGAAAACAGTGTTTATTTTGAATTGCAGAGCAAAGCAATGCATTATTTTTCCTCCTGCTGCTTTGAATGCATCCATATGCCATGACACAAGGAGATTATATTGGCAACTGTTGTTTTTACATTAACTGTCACTGGACAAACTAGTTTTCTAAGAACTAAATATCATAGTACAAACACAACTGAATCAAAAAGCTCAGCACTTTCTAACATCTGATTTCAGCATGTCAAAAAAGTCTAGTACATGAGTTTTACTTTTGATTTTGGACACTAGTGAATATATTTTTTCACATTTTAGGGGAAATATTAATAATATTATCAATATTGTCACTAGCATCTACCTGCTGCTGAATCCTTCTAGATTCTCAATGGACTACAGCAACGGTATATCTACTTTGCTCTGTTGGACCATCATGGCTGGTTTGCATTAACCCTCCATTTATTTTGGTAAATCTTACCACTGTGGAAGAAGCCCAGAGGTTTGACAGGATGAACTGGAGCCTTTCAATGTTCCATTATTTCGGGTGGTCTGAGAAAACTTAACTACAGCAGCAATTTTCCTGATAAAAGAGAATGGAATAAAACTGTATTATAATTTATTACTATAAAGATCAGGCAAATTTATCAAAAAAGGTCTTGTGTTCTAACTCTATAGTAGGATTTCCATCGATTAAAGTCAATTATGTTTTATACTTGCAGCCTGGTTCTTATATAAACATTTATAGGGATCTAATGAACATTCACAATAAGCATTTATTTTGGAACTTTATGATCTAGGATTCATTGTAATTCATACACTCATCTAGATTAATACACACACAAACTAAAGTTTCTTGCAGTTACACATTAAATTCCACATATCCTTCAAATATTTTGCTACTTGTTTGATGAATAAAACATTACCTTACTATATTTCGTTTTCCTAAGTATCTGAAATTCTGAAGGCAAACCCTAAAAGATAAAAAAAATTAAATAATCTCAAATGGTTTTCTTTCACAGCATTAATTTACTTCTTTCACAAAACATCACACGCTAGATTTTGGTACAATCCTGGTGAGAATTCTATTAGTAAAATTATTCAGGTAAATGACCACAATCATGCTAGTTTCATGCAGCAACTGTTCTTTCTACCCTTTTCCCACAAAAACCAAACTTCACTATTGCATTTAGCAGACAGATATTTGCTTTATAAATAGTTTATAGATTTCCCAAGCAATGAAAAGAAATGCTTTTACAAACTCCAATTGCGTGTTTTGTTAAATTGTTCTTGTACAATATCAAAAGTGATTGCATGAAAACTGTCCACTCATAATAGTATCTGGGATGCCCTTGACTGAAGCTATTACTCTTTTTCTGCAGGTTACTTTTACCACAAAGCATTTCTGTGACTCAAACCTTGCATTTCCTAAACAGTTAAATATCAACAGTTCATGTTGCAATGAAGTTAAACACTGACTGCAGTGTTAATGAGTTCTTTTCTTTTATTCTTTATTTATTAAGCTTACATGCCATCCATCTTACTGGATGTGACTCTAGATGGCTAATGATCATTACTCCAATAAAAACATTAAAATGATAAATAGTAACATTAATTTAGTTTAAAATTGACAAAGTTGGGGAGGAAGGGAGCAGCATGGTAGGGAGGTGGGGGGGTCTTATCTTAGTCTATTAACCACTTCCAGAATGATTCACGCCCATCGGGACCTCATTTCTTTCTTTTATTCTTTACTAATTAAGTAAAGAAAAACATTAACATTTCACAATTTAAATCATGGAAGATTAGAGAGATTGAGAAGCTGAATAAAGTTAGATGGGAGATGCATTTCTTTTGAAAGACTTAAAAATATGGGGATGGAAATGGATAGTTATTCTTCTGTTTTAATTAATACCAACAACAGCCTTGGAAGAACAAACCTCAGAGTGAGCTTACTCTAAAATGCCGAAAAAATCTGTTATTTCTGTAAATGGTGCCTTCTGCCAGTATGAGATCAGTGTATCTAGAAAGAGACAATGAAAACATACAAATATATTATTTATTCTTACATCAAGTAATCATATTTTGTGTTAAGAGTGAATATAATCCATCAGATGGAACCCAATGCAATATTCACAGTAACAAGTTTTGTTATCAACATTGTATGGATCATCAGCATTCTCAGCATTTGAAATACTAAAACCACCTTGTTAAATCTTTTAAAAAACAAAACCCTACTATTAGTTTTTATAGATGTTTGTTATCAATAAATCAATTTTATTTGCAGATGTTAAAAAAAGAAAGGAATAAAGAATTTGAGATTCCTATATTGTCAGACAACAGGAGAGCAGATGGATTTTCTGCGTCCTTACTATGGCCAAAAGACTGATATTATGGCATTGGAAAGATATATGTATGGCCCTTTTCACTCATTGGGTTGAAGACGTGATTATACTTGCCATCTATAAGTGGATTAATTATAAATATAGACTTTGAATGGACAAATGTAATGAAATATAGAACTAATTTAAACAAAATATAGTAGGTTAAACATGGTTGTATAGTTACATAACTGTTTTAGAAACATATATGTACTAAAATTATAATTGTGTTAGATAACTATATAAAGAATTGTAATTATGCTAAAATGCTAATTATGCTAAAATGATACATAATACTTTTTTCTACATTGTATTTTTGTATTTTTTTAAAAAAATCTTCTATTTCTTTTCTTTGATAATGTGTTAGCATAATTAATTTGCTGATTTGATATTTTCTGTTTTTGTCATTATTTAAAACCAATAAAAATAAATATAAAAAACATCTCTGCCATAATTCATTTAGTCAAAGTCTATTGTAATCCTATTTTCATATTTTCAAAGTGATATTTTCTACCAGTAGAATTTAGAAAGGGGTCAATGCAGCATTGCAACAAATTCTACCCACAGCCAGGTGTTCAACCCTGAAGGAGTTCAAGATTGACTCAGTCTTCTGTCCTTCCAAAATTGGTAAAAGGAGAACCCAGATTGTTGGGGCCAATATGCGGACATTGTAAACCACCAAGTGAATGTTGTAAAGCACTATAGAGCAGTATATAAGCCTACGTGCTATTGCTGTTATGTTAGATGTATGTAGAAGTAAAAAATCATTGTGACAGGCTTTTAAGATTCTGTTACAGTAACCTGACCTATACTCTTTTAGAGACCCCATTCCCTGACCATCCCTATTCTGAAGAACTGACAGATCACCTTAATTTTTCATACTTATATATTTTATTTCAAAAGCTCTTTGCAAATAATTTATTTCAACTTGCCTGAAGAGTAACAAGGTTTTTTAATAGATATGCTGTGCAGAAGGAAGAATAAGAAAGACAAAATAGGGAAAAGGTAGTAGCACTAGTAGAGAAAAGAAAATGCACATGGCTGCTTTAAACCCACTCTCCGTTGTCTTGTAAACCTAACAACCAAGAGATTTCTCCCAAAAGAACATAATCTTCAGCAGAAAAGTAAGAAAGCGGACACAGATATAGTTTAATGTTCACTTACCTTCTGAAACTGTTTTCATAATATGAAGAAAACACATTAAGAGACTTCTTGTTTCTGCTTGATCTAATTTGTCAAAACGAAGAGCTGATCCAATCAGAGACAATGGCCTTACAATCTGTTGTGGCAAAACATGAAGAGTCTTAATAAATCAATTTTACCTCCAAAATATGATACACACACACACACACACACACACACACAAACACACACACACAAACACACACACACACACACACCTCTCTTTGGTTATACCAGTTTGGTCTAGTACAAGGGTATCAAATTCAATTTCAACTGCATCAGGGTTGTATTTGACTTCAGAGGGCTGAGGTAGGCATGGCCAGGGAAGGTGTGGCCAGCTCGACACCATTCATGATGGGAATGCCTATATTGGCCCAAGCGTTCTGCTAGTAAAAATGGGCTCCTGCACAGCCCATTTGGCTGCCACAGCCTCCTGCAACCCGCTGCCAGTGAAAATGGAGCTCAGGTGGTTGTGGCCCTCCCGAGTTCTGTTTTCACTGGCAGAGGGTTGCAGGACACTGTGGCAGCTAAAAACGGAGCTCTGCCGTTTTCCCTGGCAGAAGCACTGCAGGTTGTTCTTCACTGTTTCTAGGGCAGCCCTGTGGGCCAGATCCAAGTACCCCATGGGCTGGATCTGGGCCCTGGGCCTTGAGTTTGACACCCCTGGTCTAGTGGTTAAGTTTAATATACCAGTTTGGTCCAGTGGATAAGGCACCAGGCTAGAAATCTCCTGCCTCAGACATGAAATCCAGCTGCCAGCCACTTTCTCTGTCATTCTCTCTCAACCTAACTCTCCTCACAGAGTATTATTGTGAGCAAAATAGGAAGGGGAAGGAATATATGCTTGCTCCCTTAAATATTTATAAAAACAATGAAGGTAGAATACAAATAAATAAATAAAAAACCCCACAAACATAACATAAAATAAATATAGCATAATGTGGACCAGAGACAGCTGCATTAGATAGCTGCCATCAAGTGCTGTATGAATGCCTCCACGTGCTCTGAATCATCTTTTCCCATTAAAATCTGAGGTACTGTGCTGTCTTAGTTCATAGAAATATATACCTTCTCACAGGCTTCATTTATTTCACTGTTCTTTTCATTGGTACTTGGATTAGAGTCAAGACTTCCTAGGGAACCTCTGGAGTCAGTACGGTTTGCTGCAGGAATAACTACTGATGAAAAAGCTGGAAACAAAAGCCACAACGAATGTGCTAAAATGATGCTTATGGACACAACAATTAACAGGATGAAAACCAAAGAACAGTATGTAACATTGACTAGACACTGTTAAGAAAAGCTACAGATCATTTAATGAAGATGCTGAATGGTTATGAGCTGATTGCATGAAACAGAGTAGACATATAATGACAAATGCAATGATACATATTTTGCGATAGATGGTTTCAGACACATTCTCATACATGATGGACCAAAAGCCATAGAAGTAGAAACATTTATTGAGTACAATTAGTATGACATCTTGAAATCCATCTGTACAGTATACAGTATAAACATTACTCTACTAATAAAGTTGGTGAACTTTTGTGATACAAACAAATCTGTTTATACCCAAAGTTGGGAGAAGGCAGGAAAGGTCCAGCTTCCAGTACATATCCAGGTATACATTATACCAGAAACCAATCATCTCATCCTCTCCTAACTTCCACCATATTCACTCTTGTCACCATCCAAAGTCCACAAACCACTTTTTCAGGAAGGTGGAAAATGGACTGTTTCAATTCTGGAAGATGAGCCTAGATCATCCTTGTCAAGTTTTACAATGCCACCATCCATGCTCTGCACATGTTCTTTTATGCTTGGTGGACTTGGAAACGAACAAGCTTACAACAGACTTTTGAAACATAATCTGCTTTTAAGCAGAGTATTGTCTGTATTTGTATTCTATAAATTGGGTTAGATTTTGCACACATATACATCTGTGTGCACATCTAAAATACCGATATATCGCCATTTATTAGAAAATCTCTTTCAACTAATAAGGACAATAAAATCAAATTATAAAAGTGCTGTAGGAACTATATATAGGTGAATGATTGCTGTGTTAGTTCAAAGGAAATTACAGTTCTTTTCTTTTTGTTTTCTTTTCTAGTTATAACATTTTTAAAAATTGTATCCCGATAACAGCCACAGACATCTCAAGAAATTTCAAGAAATTAGAGCGCTTTGGATCTCTCTTCTAAGATCAGATCACACTCCTGCAAGAAATACTAGAAGATAATTTACATGTAAAAAATTGGTAATAATGAAACTTGCAATAGAACAAAACAGAAAGTTATTTTTATATAAATGGTTTCGTACCTGCAATTGAATTAAGAACATCTTTGGAGAAAGAAGTATCTATTGAATTTGCATGTTTCATTGTTGTCTGACTCTGAAATCCTACAGTGGTGCTCAAATCATCTCTAGATCCCTAGATTTCAATGACAGGCAGAGAACAAATGTGTGTATTACATCAATTTTCAAAACCTGCCACTTATTGCTAATTTTATAGTTATATAACCACTGCTTTGACATTAGCATAGAACCACATTTTTTGCCTTTTGCAGCCTAATGACAAGGATATTTGTTATCTTCACCATCATCACTACCAGCACCACACATTAATCTATTTCTGCTAATTCGTCAACTTTAGAAATCTTAATATTTGTAAATACATTTCTTTTCCAAAACAATGCATTTCTTTTCCAAAACAATACAATTATTTTAGGAAAATATTCCTCCCCCTTTGCCTTCCCTTAATTCTAAACCAACCTTAAGGTGGTAATCTTAACATATTACTTAAGGAAAGGCAGATTTTTAGTGAATCAATAAGGGAGACAACTTTAGTTGCAGATGGGAGGCTGATACTAAAACTAACCTGTTTATGGCCACCTAGTAAGCTTGTAAGTGATAAGAAGTTCAAATTGGGTTTTCTTTCTCCCAATAATTCATTGCAATGATTTTAGGTATGCTTTTAGTCTGAATCCAGATTAAATGTTTTTTTTCTGTCATAGACAACAAGTCTAGCAATATAGCTAATTTAAGTGACTCTACACTAATATGCTTTTATCATACTCTATTTACTGATAAATTAACCTGAACTAATCTAGTCTAGAATAATTAAAAATGTCAGCAGTATAGTTTTATGAAAACTAAAATTATTATTGCCCATTACTGGAACCCACCTGATTAGATGTATTTATACTGAATAAAAACATATCTTTCAGATATATCCTTGGCATATTGTCCAAAAGCATCCCATAAAGAGGCATATACAAGTTTGCTATTTTTGCCTGCTTCTCCTGCAGAAAAAACATTAAAAGAAGATGGCTCAGTACAGTCAATGGAATGGTCTATTCCAAGGTCTTCAAACTTGGCAAGTTTAAGACTTGTGGACTTCAATTCTCAGAATTCCTGAGCTAACATGACTGGAGAAGGAATTGAAGTCCACAAGTCTTAAACTTGCCAAGTTTGAGGACCCTTGGTTTATTCAATCAAGGCAAAAAGTTAAACATTCATACCGGATCTCTATATCGATTATCAAAGGAATGTTTTGCCATCAGATTTTTGAGCATGGCTAGGGCCATGTGTCTGATATCCTGGTCTTCTTGGAGTGCAAATCCAACTTCTCGAAGAAGTAATCCAATTAAAAAATGCTTCCGGCAAAATTCATTTGTTACAATATATTCAGGAACATCTGGATTAAGAGATGGATCAAGAGAGTTGTGTGTTTAAAACTTGTCATACATATCCTTCACTAACATATATATACATACACACACACACACACACACACACATATATACATATACATACATACATACATACATACATACATACATACATACATACATATATATATATATATATATATATATATATATATATATATATATATATATATATATATAAAACAGACAGAAAAATAGCAGCCATCCTAAGTAACCCCAAAGATAAAATTGACCTGGAAAACCAAGGCATATACAAAGTACCCTGTGCATCATGCCCAGCCACATACATTGGACAGACCAATGGAAGAATAAGCACCTGCCTAGATGAACACAAAAATGCAGTAAAAAAGATGGAACACACTTTCTCACTAGTCCAACACATGAAAGTCACAGGTCATAGCATCGACTTCAATGGCACCAAAACCCTAGCCACTATAGAAAACCCCAACTACAGAATGGGGGTCAGTTCGCTTCATGTATGGCTCAGAGGGGTTTGAAGTAGGTAGTGATGCAGCTGCAGTGCGGCTTCTGGTCTGTGGTCATGTCTCATCTTCTGTGTGGGTGTGAGTCTGCTTTTTATGTGGAAGTGTGGTGGTGCCACTACCCACTTCAAACCCCTCTGAGCCATACATGAAGCGAACTGACCCCCCACCATGAAGATGCAGCACGACCACGAACTCGAAGCCAAACAGCAAGATCACAGCTCACCAGCTCAAATCCCCCAGTAACTAAGACCAACCTGAGCACAACCAAGCCCCCACCTGAACAGAATACACCTCCAGCCAATCAGAACATGGCCAACCCCCCAACCAATCAGAACACAGCCAAACCCCCAACCAATGAGAACACACCCCCACCCAATCAGAACACAGCCAAGCCCCCACCCAATCAAGTCACACCCCCACTAGCAGTTAAAAGGAAGAAGCAGCTGCAAGCTCACATCACTCTGAGAAGCACAGAGCAGAAGACAGAAGCCTGAAGATGATGAATGAGACTTCATTGAAACGTTGCCTAGATACTTCCAATCTTACGCGGGAGAAAACCCGAATAACCAAAGATCCACATATGTATATATATATATATGGACCTATACATATATATATATGTATAGGTCCAGGTGTGTTCGGGTCTTTTCCCGTGTAAGATTAAGAGTATCTTGGCGACATTTCGGCTTGCACTGGCACAAAGCCGAAAGCACCAGCCTGAGGATGGTGAGTGGGACCTCGCTAAAACCTCGCCAAGATACTCTTAATCTTACATGGGAAAAGACCCGAACACACCTAGACCTACATACCTGTACCCATGAAAATCTACGAATATATATATATATATATGTTTTCTTAAGTTTTCGCGGGTACTTACATGTATGGTATTCAGCTTTGTTGGGTATTTTCCCACGTCATTATAGTTGTGCTTTTAAAGTTGTAGCAACGTTTTGGCAGAATCTCATCTGCCATCATCAGGCTTCTGTATTGTGTGATGGTACAGAAGCCTGATGATGGCAGATGAGATTCTGCCGAAACGTCACTACAACTTTAAAAGCACAACTATAATGATGTGGGAAAATACCCGAACAATGCTGAATACTATGTATGTATGTATGTATGTATGTATGTATGTATGTATGTATGTATGTATGTATAACATATATTATTAATTGGCATTCAAATAATTTAATTAACAAATATTAGGAAAACGATTGCAGTTTTGTAGAACTCAATGTTTTAACTGTTAAGTCTGCTAATGTTGCAGTTTGACTTATAAATCAGTAGTAACTTCTGTTAATCTGTACCTGATGTATTATAGCAATTTTTCTTTAGTACTTGGCAAGATGAAGTAGATATTGAACTTACTTCTGACTTTAGCTATCTAGAAATAACAAGTTTTCTATTCTTCACTGAGAGGTCCTTCAATTAATGCAATGTATATTATCACTCCAAACGGGTTGGACAGCCAAAGTTATGGCAGAATAATTCCACTTCAAACTTGGGTACAGTGCAGAGTAGTAGATAATTTTTAAGATGCTAGAAATGGAATTTGATAATGCCACATTTAATAACGAAGACTGCAAATTGTACTTAGGCTTACCTGATGCATTAAACTGCTGGGTTGCTTCTGATGGTGTGATTGGATCTTGAATGGTGTGATAGAAATATATGGAAAAGGGGAAGAAAAAAAGAAAAAGAAAAAGAAAAAGAAAAAGAAAAAGAAAAAAAGAAAGAAAGAAAGAAAGAAAGAAAGAAAGAAAGAAAGAAAGAAAGAAAGAAAGAAAGAAAGAAAGAAAGAAAGAAAGAAAGAAAGAAAAAAAGGTACATTTAAATAAATGCCAATGCTAATTGTGAAGGTAAAATTTTATGGTGTCATATTCATCCATTCACACTTCGTGAATCCAAAAGCACTATTACTGATTAGAAATAGTGCTTTTGGATTGGCTACTTTGAGATCAACTCCAATTATTGGATGCTAAGCTTTTTTAAAGGAATAGGTTATTTTATCTTTTTATGGACTTTGCACAGTGGTTTGTGTGAAACTGATGGTGTAAAAGTATTAAAGACAAAGCAAACATTTAAGATTCAACAGGACCCATGAAACGATCCTTTCCTGTTTATCTATCTAGGGTCAAATGATACTGCAGAAAGCTGCTACAAGCATATCAGTGCGAACATTGAAAGTCTAAAACAGACACTCTTCCAGGCCACAGAAGGTGACTGGAATGAGAAAGAAGCATATTGTAAGTGAATATTCAAGATACAATCTCAAATACAAATATAAATGGTGACAGTGACAGACCATTTCTATCCATGTTGTAAACTAATTTAATTGTTAACTAAACAATTAATTAAATTGTTGGCATGGAATCAGCTGCACCTCAAAGAACTAGTAGACTAGGCAGACTTAATCAGGAACACTTTAAACTGGATCTGAAGGGGCTGTGTGGCAAAAAAAAAAGGGGGGGGGAAGAAGAACCATGCATAGAGACTTGTGCAGTGTAGGAAAAACGGTATTGTTTCTTGGACAAAGTAAACTAAGAATGAAAAATCAGAAACAATATTAAGTTTTAAAGTTCACATCCTTCCTTCCTTTCTGCTCATGACATAAAATAAGATAAATGACTTAACAAGAAAAATGAAGATCAGTTGAGATACTGAAAAGAACATTTGGGTTATACATGTAGAAAATCACATAAAACCCGTGCTGTTGTTTGTGTCTAATATTGCTCACCCAACCGTAAGGAAGATAAAGATAAGCTTCTTAAAAACAAATTGCAAATATTTTTAAGAGGCCTAAAGTAAAAGTGGTGATGACTGTACTGATTACAAGAATTCGCATGCTACAATTCCTGGTGGTTTATACAATAAACAAAAGCAAATTAAATATAAATGTAAAGCAGGTGAAGTAATGTAACCAGTTACTGAAATAGTGGCCCAGCTCACCATTAAATCCCACCTAAATAAACAGTTTGATAGATTTGCAGAAAGTTGATGATAAAAATCCAAGACAATGCAAACAGTTAGAACAATTAATCAGTGGAATGGCTTGTCTCCAGAAGTTGTGGGTGCTCCAACACCTTCAGTTTTTAAGAAGAGATTGGAAACTCTGTCTGAAATGGTATAGGGTTTCCTGCCTGAAAAGGGGGTTGGACTCCAAGGTTATTCTGTTAACTACTGCATCTACCACAGAGAAAGTGTCTCTCTTTTAGATCCAAAGTCCCTCATTTATTTGATGGAAAGAGTCAAATTTTAATAATCAAATGTAAGGTTTTCAATTTCAAAATACCTTTTATTTTAGTGCCATAAAAAGTTGTCAGGCATTTTTTAAACTCATGATTTATGCATTTTTTTGCTGTTTTTTTTAAAAGTTAACATAATAACTTAGTTATTAAAATAACACTTACTCATACTCTCAATTGTAATAAAACAATTTTATTGAAAATGGGAAATTTGCATGCTGACCTTAAATGTATTTATATAATAAAAACCCCTAATATTTTATGAGCTTTTTACTAAGTATATATACTTAAAATTGAATACAGATTATTTTGTCTTATAATAAATATTATATAAGACCGTAAATGCTTACCTGGAATGTTTGCAGATTTCATGGGTAGGCAGAGAGGAATGAAGTGTTCATAGTTACATACTTCTTGAAGAAAATCAAATTTATACTGGAATAAAATCTGAAAGTTTGAGGTGATTATCAGGTGATTGATCTTCTTTTATTACATGCATGTACATTCATTAATCTATCTGCATAACTACATGAAATAATAGTTATGCAGGATAATGAATGTTCATGTTTATTTATATTTATGTGAAAGTATTATTTTCATGTAAGAGCAAAAATATTTTTTTAAATGAGAAAGGTGATTGTAGCAATACTAAACTAATAAAGGGAAAGGGAATCCAGTAGATAATTGCTTAGATTAGATTGAATAAGAAACACATGCATTTCCCTGCTAAAGGACTGCTGAATGAGCAAGCAACAAACAAATTCCAATAACGAGATCCATGTTTTCATTGATAAACATATGATTGGATAGACTGGCTTTTTATTTTTGTAAGGTCATAGCAAACCAAAATCAACTACATATTATGGGGAAGCATCATATTACAAATATTTTTTTTTCTATTAACTGCTTTGTAAAGTGATCATAAAACTTTTATCCAACAAAAGGAAACAAATATTCTTGGAAGACCTATTCCCTTTTTTTACTGATTCTGATAATTTCTAAAGTAAAAGGAGAAGTTGGTATAATTGCAAACATACATTTACTTTATTTACCTTGTCATCACCTGGTCCAAACATGCTTATATAATTATTAATTAATTTAAATACAAATCCACGGTCCATGAATGTGAAACATTGCTAAGAGAAAAAAATCAAAATGATTATAATTATTTCCCTAAGAAAAGACTTTTAACAGAAAAAAGTTAATAAGTTAATTAGTTAATTAATATCATCTTGGCAAACTGGCAATAAATCATGAAGATCAAATGTTAAATACTCAATTCAATATTTCTCTGATTAATCTAAATATCAATTTATGTAAGTAGCAATATGAAATTAAAAGATTTTGTATTGTTTTGAATAAATAACCAGTATAAAGTACATCCTCTAGAAAACTTACTGAAAATGTAAATATGTTCAAATGAAACAGATCCTATTTGTCAAGAATAGAACAAATAGGATTTGTTTGTATTTCTTGAATTTTTGGCTATTAAATGAAGTTTGCCCTTCTGCAAATCTAAAAACTGAATGGCAATCCTTTATTAATTAACAGTGCTACAGTACAAAGAGTTATCTTCTTTATTATAGAGAGTGTGATTACTGTATATTCTTTTTTGGTGACAAGTATTCAAATGTTTCTTCTTTTACTCTCTGGTTATGAACTTTCAGCATTACTATGCCCAGTCTTCATCAGTGTAGAAGAAGCACATAATTAATGTTTTGTGTTATGCCAAAAGCAAAGAGAAATATTTACTATGAAAATGATTACAAGGATTGTGGAATCTGCAAGGGTCAAATAGGTTAATGGTTATTTATACAAAATACAACTTACCTTCAGAAACCTGCCAACGCTGTGACTTGCATTTTTTGTCTCTTCAAAAGCTTCTACGTGTTTCCAAATAACATGATCTGATATGTTCATTACAAGTTTATCTAGTTTAGTTTTGTATGATTCTGGAAACCTCTGAGCACGAGGAATCTGGTGGGACAGCAAATGGCTTCTTCAAAATAAGAAACTGATCTAGACAACACTCAATATTCCAAAATGTTTCCTTCCCCTCGCCACACAACAAAATTGGGGGAGTTACTGGAATTGCTTCTGACTAAATGATAACAGGCATCATTCTGATGTACAGTTTAATGATGGTATTTATTTATTCAGAAAATGTTTTTGACACTTAATGCCTTAATGGAACTGGATGATTACAAAGAGGGTGCAACTAAGCCTCAATTAAAATGCTATTGTTAAAACAAGATGTAGGAAAATAAATCCGATTTGAGAAATGTTTTAATTTGTAGCCAGAGCAGAGGTGGTATTCAGCAGTTTCTGACCAGTGCTGGAGAACTGGTAGCGGAAATTTTGAGTAGTTTGGAGAACTGGCAAATACCACCTCTGACTGGAGATTTTACAGTATCCTTCCCCTGCCACGGCCACCAAGCCACGCCCACAGAACTGGTAGTAAAAAAAATTTAATCCCACCACTGACCCAGAGGATCACTTATTTCAATTCCAGTGGCAATTTCTTTCATGGCTATATCATGAGGAAAGCCAAATCACTGTGGAAATGATTAATTGGTGACTTAAAGTGCTGCACAGATTGTATGAATTAGGCAGTCCCATAAGCAGTTGGTCTAAATTTTATTTTTAGATCTTTAGATTCAATAATGTTCAGAACAGTTTTCTTGTCCAGATAAATTGCATTGATATAACTACAGAAGCATTATTAATAATCACCAGCTGCAGAAAGTGTTGCCCACCCATATATCCTCCCACACCCTTTCTGTGTTTGCACCATATTAGCCACTCACACATTTCATGCACCCTTCATGTCATTATTGTCATGAACACCCTTCCCAACATGTATTGCATTCTTACACCCCTCAATATCATAACCCTAGAGCACCCCTTCACCTCATGCCTCACCCTTCTACACTTTCCCCATACTCTGTGCTTCCTCCACCATCCAGCTGCAGCCACTTTTACCTGCTTGGCTGTGACTTGCAGCTTCCTCCTTGACTTTGGTTGTGGGAAGCTGGCAAGAAGCTGCCTCATCTAATGAGAATGGAATTTAGTTAACAACAGCAGCTGGGACTGCAGGGATTGCTATCATTAAATGATGCAGTTGTGCTTTATGACTACATCACTTAGTGCCATTGTATGGTGAGAAATAACTGTATTTGTATCTACACGTTGCAGGTTTTTCCCCCAGAAGTCTACTTATCAGTCTTTGACTGGGACAATCAATAATTTCATGAATATCTAAGAAGGGTAACTTGGCAGTCATCATATATACTAAAGACAATTTTGTAAATTCTCATCAGTAAGTCAAGTACTTAAGAATATAGCTTTGTCAGGATTTTTTTTTAAAATAAAAAGCACTTGGAAGAGAACCCAAAAATATCATCACATGTAAAGATCTCTTCACCATTCACCAAACCATCAAGAGAAGCAATATTTAGCAAAAAGTTAGGGACAGACTTGTTCCCTGAAATAGAAGGATTGAGGATTGATATTCTTTCTTTAAATGAAAAACTGAAGTTGATTTCATGGTTAATAGTTGGTTATATATGCAACTGATTATATATAAATGCACCATCTGTCAAAATAATCCTACCCAATGAAGATTATGGACCATAGTCTACCATGCTGGTCCAGAGCATGTTGATATTTTTTATTTCTCTGAGTACTGAACCTGGATCTCTTCATTCCTAGTCTATTGAGAAAAGCATTTTATTTTAATAATCACTAATAATTGTAGGTGATTCTCTATTCCAAATGTTAACTCTCTCACTGTCCCTGTTATCCCTTAACCATTAACACAAAATCCATGATCTATCGAGATTGGAAACTATGGGAGATATGTTTTAACAATAGATTGTTATACTACACCTCTGCTAAGCTATCAACTGACAAGAGCAAAACAAGTACCAAAACCAAAAACCTGATCAGTCACACTTCCTCACACCAACAAATAGGCTGGATCCCTATCTACCCCATCTACACAACAAAAGGAAAACCAACAGACACCAGGAAAGACAATTAAGATTGACCTATTGACAGAAGCACACGCGAGAACCAGTCTGTAGGTAATCCAACAATCCAACTCATCCAACCCCACTAGAACCAGCACATATGTAACCCATGTTCCCCAAGTCCAGTTCCCCTATAAAAAGTCACGGAATCCCATTTTTCTCTGTAACTAGCCCCAAGAACAAACCCTTTTGTTGTTGGGAAATAAATAGATCAACTTCCTTTCTACCAACAGCATACCTTGTGTCTTATTTGCCCGCATTCTCCTGGCTTGGAAAAAGGGATCCAGGAAAATTATTTTAATACTACCATACCCATTATATCATATTGACAGTTTCTAATTAATACTGAATTAAAAGGCTTGCTATCTTTTTACCTTACAGCAACATTTATGATGCCTCAAGATGCCTATATAAATTTGTACACCACTACAATTCAGACACTTTACTGTGTATATAATATAATAACAACTAAAGATAGTACAGTCTAAAGTCAATGTATATGAAAAGCATACATACACTAAAGTATTGCACTCATTAAAGAATATGATAAAACTTAGTTCAGTAAAATATTCTTAAATAAGAACATGTTTAAATACTGAAAACATTTATTATGTAGTACATAATAGCATAGTCTTACCTGTACTCTCTTTGTATAAACCAAATGCTGTGCCATTGATTTTAATATAATTGCAAAAAAGAACCAGGAGTGCTAAAAATAAATAAATATATATTATTTTTCTTTGGTATTAATACACCTATACTTTGCAGTTTTATTTTTTCTTTACAAAAAAGCTTCCCAAAAGTGGGCTTTTCCATATATGCTGAGACTACCGTTTCCATAAAACCTAACCAAAGTGGCTAAAATTTGCTAGAGCTGTATTTCCTAAATATTTGGAAGGAATAAGATTAGAAAAGAGAGAACTGAATCTATGGAGCCTGAGTCACTTCTGAATAGACTCTCTGCACACTAAGCAATTCTTTCCCCAACTACATCATAAAATAAGAACATATAGCAAAACAGTCAGTTTGATCTGGTGAATAAGTTAGAAAGCAGGAGGCTGTGAGTTTTAATAGTATCTGAAGCACAACCCAGCTAACTGACCTTCGGCCAGTCATTTTCTCTCAGCCCTGGAAATGAAGCATTGACAAACTACTGCCCCTCCTCCCCCCCCCCCCCCCCCAAAAAAAATGCCTGGAAAACTCCAAAGACTAGTCCAGGCAGTCACCAGGAGTCAAAACCTAACTCATAGGAACAAAAGTGAGGAAATCAATAACTTATAAAAGCTTCCCTGACATTTTAGCTCATGAATAAGAATAAATTTCACCTTTAGAACAAGCTTCACAGTCCTTTGATCATTTGATTGCAAAAGATTAGTTATATTCTTGGCCAGTTCTTCATGAACAGTCTGTTCTTCAAATGTCTTAGTTTTGAATACATACTAAAAGTATAATATAAAATGCAGGAAAAAATGTTAATGGTTAGAACATTAGGTCTCATTGACTATGCAACACGAACAATTTGCATCATATAGTACCTGACAGTTATATGGTCAATGCTTGGAAAATATTTATGGTACAAGACTATTAGTCTTTTGCATCTAGCCTTCTATTGATTTGAATGTAACGAAGCTAAGAAACTATACTTTGTACCATAATTTTCTCCTTGACCATTCAGAAATACATCCCTTTAAGGATAATGAACTCATGCCCAAGTCTGCATCACTTGCCTGAAAATAAATCTTTCTGAACTCAGTGAGATATATCTCTGATTAAATATATATGAAATCGTGTTATAAACATTTTACATTATGCGGATATGTATGGTCTATATCAAAATCAAAAATACATATCTCAGGCAATAAATACTCTAACCTGTCAACAAATGCTTTGCAAGATGATAACAACTGCACAGCAATGTTTCTCAACCTTGGCATTTTATAATGAATGGATTTCAACTCCCAGAATTTCCCAGCCTCTTAACACTGCTGTATAGGCACAATTCCTATTCCATTTTTATATTAAAGTTTATTACTGTGATCATTATATTTGATAGGTTCAAACTATCATGGGAAAGTTTCTTTGACATTATTTTTGTGTTTGCTTATTTACTTATTTTTTTAATAACACATTCAACTCTTTCCTAATGAGGCTGAATACATCGTGGGATGTGGGAAAAAATACATATAAATATTGAAACATTATTCCTGCCAGCATGGAAGTATTAGCATCTGCAGTTATCTTGCACATGCACCATTCTTTGCTCTAAACATCAGCCAATCTGGAAATGTATGAAATGTGGTGACATTTAGTCTTATTCTTGAATGTAGGATGACTAAGCAAAACAATCACTTGATCAATGCTGTTCTGAATGTATTAATAAGAGAATACATTTAGTGACAGCTAGTTAAGCAATCACACACTTTAGTTTGTTTACATGTGTAGAGCATTGTCCACAACATGTTTGGATTTTCATCAGCATTACCCCCCAAATAATGCTGCTAGGAAAGGGACTTGTAAATAAGAATTCTGTGCTACATATATTTTGAAGTAGCATTAATCTTATGTCATCTTAAGAAAGATACAGAGAAAAATGTTTTGAATGAAATTTTATGCTACAACTAATGCAAGGTTTCTACTTCTGTCTCATTCATGGTGACTAGAGACATTCAACACATGACGTGATGCCATCATGCAGAATTACAGGATCATGCTTTACTTGGAAGAGCAGAAAAGTAGATTTGAATCCAGCAGCATTCTTTATTTTTCTGGGACCTCAAATTTAATCTAAAGTACATTACTACTATCACTACTACAACATCTGAAGTGTTCAAACACATTTACTCTAATAATATATCTGGCTATTATTTGAGTATAGAGAGAGCATGATGGCTAAAATTGAGAGGTTTTACCAAAGCAGCTCAAATTCATCATCAGTATTCATTAATCTAAACATGTTAAGATACTTCAACTGTGTTATACTATACTTTGTAACTTCTGAAATAAATGAGATTCAAGAAAATAATAGTAAATATTAACATTCTTCAGAATACTGTTTAATTTCAGGATGATTATCATTTAAATTTTTCATCTCTCTCATGAATAACAATAGCACTTAGACTTATATACCGCTTCACAGTGTTTTACATCTGTCTAAGCAGTTTACAAAGTCAGCATATTGCCCCCAACAATCTGGGTCCTCATTTTACCAACCTTGGAAGCATGGAAGGCTGAGTCAACCTTGACCTTGGTGAGATTTGATCTGCCAAACTGCACCACCGCGGCTCTTATGAATGGTAATTGTCTTTATAATTTTTTTTGCCAAACTGCTGGCAGTCGGTGATCAGTAGAAGTAGCCTGAGGTACTGCATTCTAACCACTGCACCATTGTCTTTAAAAAAAATTCTTGCTATATCATAGTTCTCTACTGTAATTGTTCAGTTACAAAAATTTTAAAAGCTGCAGTGATCACAATTTAAGGTCATTAAATTGTTACTAAGTTTCTTCCTGAGAGGCATTTTGCATATACATACATGCAAAATGACATGTTAAAATACAACAAAAAAATTAACATTTTGAAGTTATAGGCAGTTGTTTGGGAGAAGGCCTATTGAATTTTGGGAGACTTATTTCTAAATATAATATGATTGGAATTTCATTATGCAAAAAGCACAATAGAAGTTGTTTTATTGCAATAAAAATGTAGCCATTCAGTTTATTATAAATTCAATTTATGTTATGACACTTAGATTGTAGAAAATGAAAAAGGATATATGCAGGGGTGGGATTCTACTAGTTCGCACCTATTCGCTAGAATCGGTTGTTAACATTCTAAGCAGTTCGGAGAACCAGTTGTTAGAAGAAATTACTAGCCTAATCCTGTAAGGAAGGCAGGAAGGAAACATTCTGGTGTTGCTTACAGAAACTGCCTCTCCGTTAACCCTTATTACATTCTTGGCAGGACTAGACTTCCTGTCTCTGGAACTTCTCTGGAGTTTTTTTTTGCCTCCTTTGTTGGTACTTTGCTTGTGTGGAGTGACCATTCAAAGTTACAATGGCACTGAAAAAAGAGACTTATGACCATTTCTCAAACAACTGTTGCAGCACCCCCACAGTCATGAGAGGCCAGGGGAGGAGATGCTTGCCTCGATGTGAGTGATATTGAGTTGGCCATGCCCAGCAAATAACATGACCACCAAGCCATGTCCACCCAGTCACATGACCACCAAGCCATGCCCACCAACTAAGCCACACCCACAGAACCGGTTGTTAAAAAATTTGAATCCCACCCCGTATATATGTTCTGATAATTAGCATTCATGTTGACTTATATATGTCCATTTCTCCACTAGCAATCTACAGCATCTTCATAGCAGTCCCCAAGGAAAGCATGAAAAACTCAACTTCATTTTTGCTACTTTGGTACAACAATGATTCTAGAAAAAGCTATACAATAAAACTCTAATGGAAAAATTATGTGTGGACAGTCAGTATCTTACCAGATTTGTGATATTTTACTAATGTGAAATTCAGTAAATTTCAAAACAAGTATTCAGAATAATTCTCAAAATCATATTATTATAAATCTGTTATAATTCTTACATATTTTAAATGAAGTTCTCATAATTGTAAAGTGACATACATATGCTAATGGCTAAAATGGAGCATTATCAGATGATGAATTGCAGGGATCAAACAGGTTATATAGTACAGCTAGAACATCTAGCGACATCTTCTGAAACACTGTATTTAAATGAAGGCATTTCACACATTCACTTAAAGTAATGAAGCAGAAATTAATTGAGCAATGAATCTGGAGCCATGTACATGCATCTCTGATTCGTTCATGTCATTACTGATATTATTCCTCAATTCTCCATAATATTTTATTTGTTAAGCAAATTAACTTATAGTATGAATAAGTGTACAAGAAGCTCAACAGTACCTGAGTTAAATTACTGTAATTATGTATAAGAGATTATATATGGAAACATCCTATTTGACTCTATACTTCTACACAAATAGATCTGAAAGTCCAATTTTCAGGCAACAGATAAAATCTCTATTTCTTTTTTGTAAGTAAAAAAACCAAAGTACTATGTGTAATTTTGATAAAAAAATTAAAATACCAGAACAGAAAATACTCATATATTTAATTTTCATTGTTAATCTTATCTTTATTCTCTATTAAGTGTCCCTATTTAAACTGAATCTGTCACTCCATAGTTTAAAATGATTGCTTCTTGTCATGTCTATTTGTAATTATTGGTAAGCCACAGGATACATAATGTTAGAAGGAAAATTACATGTAGCTCTTTCAATCACAAAGAGAGAGATTCAATGCATTCCATCCATTACGAATTCTATCTGTATATCCAGCTGTATAAATCACAGCAGAAATTCCCTATTCCTATCATAACTCCAGTATCCCTATACAAATGCAAAATCTGCTTTAAAAATTGGGAGTTATTCAGGATCAGAGTTTGAAGTATAAAAATGGTTGCATCAGTATTTTGACATCAAAAAACGTTAGCAAACATTTGAGCTTGTATAAATTGAAATAATTTCAATAATTGTTAAAATCTATTTTAAAGGTAAAAGTTCCCCTCGCACATACGTGGTAGTTGTTTCCTGCTCTAGAGGATGGTGCTCATCTCTGTTACAAAGCTGAAGAGCCAGCGTCTCCGTGGTCATGTGGCCGGCATGACTAAATGCCGAAGGTGCACAGAACGCTGTTACTTTCCCACCAAAGTGGTCCCTATTTTTCTACTTGCATTTTTACATGCTTTCAAACTGCTAGGTTGGCAGAAGCTGGGACAAGTAACGGGAGCTCACTCTGTTACACGGTGCTAGGGATTCGAACCGCCGAACTGCCAACCTTTCTGTTTGACAAGCCAATGAGTCACCACGTCCCTATTTTAAACATAAATTAAATGCAACTCTGAAATTGTGGATATCAATAACTTCCTCATTTTCCCTTTTAATATCATACCCAATGATAACTAATTAATTTAAAAATATTGATGAGTTTATTTTTTAATCTGATTTTACAAAACAAAGACATTGTCTTAATCTGCTTTGTGTTTTTCTTCCTTAAAATCAACAGCTTTGCTTAATTTCTTTCACTGTGCAAAGTGTGCCAAATATTTTAGTAGCTTTTTAGCACTTTACTAGTTCAAAAGGCATTTTTACTGATACTGCATACAAGGATATTCCTTTAACGTATCTATAACTAATCTTAGTACACATTCATTTAGTACAATGAAGGATTTAAAATGAAAACTGAATGGAAAGAAACAGAACAAGCAGTGCCAATTCACAAATATGTGCAAAATATCATGCTGGAAGATTAAAAATGTTCCACATACCATGAACAGGTACAAAACCACTGCAATTTAGACAATAAAAAAGTTCTTGAGAAAATAATAAAAAGGCTAAAAAATATTATGCACAAGCTATTTGAAAGCACACAGAAAAATTTCCAACAATGCTCTCTTTATTACAAACTACTGTTTATGTTCACTGTATATTGTATTGCCTCATGCAAACTATTGTAAGAGAATCAACTGATAAATTACCATGGGTAGTTTACAGAGGCAGTTAACACATGATGCTTTGCCAAGATGGCTTTAAAAAATAAATTCTGGCATAAATCTGAAATTTTATAAAGAGATAAGAACAGGTTAAATATTCTTACCTTTACATATGATTGAATATAGTGATCTAATTTTTCTTCATGGAACTTGGCCACAATATCAGCAAAGACCCTGTAAATTAAAAGTACAATGTGATAAAGAAGATGGCAGTTTCATTTCACAAGTAATGCAACTAAATGTAAGTAAGTCTATTTATTTCAGTAATTATATTATTATTATTATTATTATTATTATTATTATTATTATTATTATTATTATTA